TTTCCAATTCATTTTCTTGTTAATTTTTTTCCAGGGTCTGGTCAAACTCCTTCTGCCTCTCCCTTCTCGTCTCTCGCTGCCCCATAACTAACTATTTTTCTCTTTCTTCTCTCCCTTTGACCTAGAGTTCTTGATGCTGAAATGCAGGAAAATGTAGTAAAGGCATAGGCATGGTGCTGGGTTGAGAAAGCACAAGCATGGTGCTGGGTTGAGAAAGCACAGGCATGGTGCTGGGTTGAGAAAGCACAGGCATGGTGCTAGGTTGAGAATGCATAGGCATGGTGCTGGGTTGAGAAAGCACAGGCATGGTGCTAGGTTGAGAATGCATAGGCATGGTGCTGGGTTGAGAATGGCCAACAGAAGCTCAGTCTCGAGCCACACAGACAGCTCACGTGGAGGACATGGAGTCCACAGAATCTCAAAAGGCCTGGAAGTCATAGGATTACTCCTAAGAACCTCCCAGGTCATAGCATTGGGTCACATGAGACTGCGGCCCTTGTGAATTCAACTGTTTGACCACAGATGTTTTGCAGTTGACCAAATTATAGATCAGAAACCATGTATCAGAAATCAGTATCATCACTACTTGATAATATATTTTCATTTTCTTTATTATTATTGGTGTACTTCTTCCTTTTGGATGTCAACTCTTGAAGAACAAGGATAACACTGTGTTTCTTCTTGTATGATCAGGGCTTACCAAGGTGCCTGGTATACATGCATGTTAATAGAAGTTGCAAAGAAGGCATGGGACATCTGGACTCTTGTTACAGATGCTGATGAGCACCTTCACTACCTATGCTACGTTTGCCTTGTTTTTTTGTTTTTTCTGTTTTCCTTTCCCTCAGCACTGAGCAGACCCGACCATGTTCCTAGGCATTCAGGAAGTCTCATGTCCCTTCATGGCAGCCCAAAGTTTTGCCCCACAATTAAGCCTCCCTTCCTTGGATTATACCCCAGACTCAAAGATCGTTTCTTCATATACTCATATGAAAACTTCCATTGGTCTCATTGCTAGGAAAATAAAATCCGATGACTTCCTGTCAAACTGTAATAGACCATTTATTGCAGTCATCCTTCAGGGTGTTTGTATTTTAAAGCATGGAGCTGCCAGCCTATGGTGGCATTTCAGGGTTTAAGTGACGTTCAGAACAGTAGATAGATGATGGATGGATGGATGGATGGATGGATGGAGAGAGAGGATCTCCACAGGTGGTGGTGGAGTGCTCCCCCCCTTATTCTTCCGGGCTTCATCATAAAGATGCTCACCTGTTGATTATAAAGTCAAGGTCACGCGAGGAGACGGAGAACAACACCCAGAGAAGCTGAAATATGAAGAATGAAAACCCTTGCTTTCCCTCCAAGGGAAAATAATACAAACCAAGCAAACTGCTTAAGAAAGTGGAGACTATTTTATTTAGCTTATAAGATAATTACAAATGATTACTGCTTTAAAGAGATTCGGGGGTGGGGGCTTCCAAGCGTGGAGTCAAATGCTGTAATCATAACACTCAGGAAACTAAACGGGACTGTGAGTTTAAGGCCAGGTGAGATCACACCGGAACCCTGCCTCAAGGTTGAGAGACCACATGCCTAGCATGGATCTGCCCTGGGTTAGAAAAGACACAAAGCTACAAAACAAAGCATCAGAGCAGGTTACCCTGAAGGTTCCTTTAAATGGCTATCTCCTAGCGTACATTTACAACTAAACTGAGCTGCATTTATAATTAGTTTTCTAGAAACTCAGCTAATGTGTGTAGTTTCTTCTGTTGCCTAAAGCAGTTACATACAAACTTCCACTGCATCATGTCACTGATATCTGTATTTCCTAGTTAGTTGACATTTGGTCATTTCTGTATGTCCCCTCTTCACATGTCTGCTGCTGAGATTATACATGCGTGGCGAAAGAAGCCAGCATGGGAAGTGACCACTTTTGTTGGTCTATTCTTAGTAAATGCCATGACACCACTCTGAGGATCACGGTGATTCTAACACACATTCTACAAAGCTAGAATCAGGAGGGCAGGCTATGCTCCAGCCCCAGTGTACAGACCAAGGTAGAAGCTCGGGTCGCAGGCCACCCTGTCCTACACTCTATCCACCAGTTCACTGTGCTGGGAACCATCACACTGGGCTCTTCCTGACAGGAACCCAGTTCTCGCGCTGCTTCTCACCTAATTTCAGGAGAAAGCCTTCCAAACGGATACAGGCACCCACGATGCTACACGTCCAAATATTTTCATTAAGTTTATATTTTAAAGTATTCCTTCTGACGTTCATTTTCCTACAAACTAGCACAGACATTGAGAATGGGAGAATGCTCCCCTCATCCAAATAACTAATAGCCAACAGAGCTACTCTCACGCCAGCACTGGCCATCTTGAACAGCCCAGGAACACCCTGATGCAATTGTGCAAAGACTGTAGCTGATTGCTCTGGTTCTTGGAGGTGCAGCACCAGTCAGGGCTCTTTGAAACAGTTTATATCAGATCTTCCACAACCTCAAGCCTCAGGGAACTCAATCATTCCTACCACGACTAGACAAGGAGCACTTCCTTGGGGGTCTAGAGAAGAGAAACTTGTCTGGTGCTCAGAGACAAATCTGCGATTGGCCCAAAGTGATGGGTATGCTTTATTTAAAGCAGGCAGCTGTGGTTGGTCCAAACAACTGGCTGTAATTGGAGGACATAGTCCTCAGGCTGTGGAGGATGTTCAGGTTCACCCAGGGAGTTGAGCCAGAGATACTAAAGTCGGTTAACTCCTCTAGTATTGCAGCATTAGGTCCCCAAACAACTGCTCTCGAGAGGCCTTGACTCCTTGCTGTGACCCAGAGAAGGAAGCAGCAGAGGCAGAAGTGGTGGCTGCATCAGCAGCAGCAGCAGGCACCGTGTCTAAGGTGGCCGAGGTGCGCAGCTCTAGCGGTCTGGTAGTGACTGAGTCATTGAAGGGGCTAGAGAGCCAGTTATGGGGCAGACCAAGCAGCTGAGACGTTCAAGGTGTGCCAGGCAGGAAGGAGAAAAGCTGTGGAAGTAGGAAAAGGAAAGGGAAGGTGGAGAGCCAAGGGAAGAGAAAGGACAGGCCCTGGTCATCGCAAGAGCTCCAGAGAGTGGTTAAGCCTTCAGAGCCAAAGGTCTCACCCGGGGTCTAGGGCTGCCAGCGGTTGAGAAACTCAGTTTCCTAGCCTTAAAAACTTACCACTTTCATGGTTTAGTCCTGAGGACAGCAACACTAGAGGGTGCCACTTGCTCTTGCTTCTGCCTGGGTACAGCCACCACTCACTGCTGCCCTAGACCAGCCCCTCACTGCCCCTCACAATTCCTATCCAAGTACACAGCCACAGGAAGCTCAGCCAGCTGACTGGCGGCAGAACTAAGGAATGAACCACGGGTGCAAACCATTTTGGGCCTCCAGCCTTACAAGGTGCAAGATGTGCAGTGGTCCATCCCGTCATATCTCATTCTGAAACTACATGCAGTCTACTTTCACTATTTCTATATGAAGCCAAAGCTAAACAATCCAGTCCTAGGTGCCTATCCAGCAGGCCTCAGCAGAAAAGAACTTAAAATAAAGGGCTTAAGGAGAAATGGTGGGAGAAATGCACGGAAATAAAAAGGTGAGGGAGGAGAAAGTGTTAGCGTGGTAGCATATGTACACTAAAAGTGGTCATTTCTGATGGAATGATTCAACAACACTTAGTAAATACAAGGAAGGTCCTGGACGCCGGTCGTGGGGCCTTCTGGTAGAAAAAGTTGTTTCTTTGCTGTTAGTGTCGATCATCTTACCATGCATGAAAACAGGTACTGTTCCAGCTCTCCAAAACTCAAGCTACTGAGGGAAGCCAGACAACTGAAGACTAGATTGGCCTCCCATTCTGGTGGGAGGAGATAGTGTCACCCAAGGCAAGTCACGAAAGAAGAGTTAACTTTACAAATAAAATAAAATAAATAAAAACTGCCCCAAACTCGGGCCTCGACAGGACAGTAGATAGCTTAGTATGCGGGACTGTAGACGGACTGGCGATACCTGTCACGCCGAGGCTTCTGCAAGCCAGTATTCTTTCTCCTAATCGGACTCCAACAATTTTTAAAAGTAACGTCCGCAGAAACGTTTGGTGAATCACACTTTCAAGTACCCTTACACAAGGCGGGTTCGCCAGACGTCTGTTGTTTTGCAATAACTCATTTTAAGTGCCCTTAACACGAGTGCGGCGTTATCTGCGCTCACACTTCATAAACCGGTCCCAAGGCTGAGAGCTCCGGGGAGAGCGTCGAGACAGAGGCGGGCGTTGCGGGGGCGGGCTGCAACAGCCACAATGGGGCATAGCAACCAGAACGCCGCTAGGGTGGAGGTCCGCGCTGCGCAGGCGCAGGAAGACCGGAAGCAAGGCTGGGGCCTAGGGAGCGCGCGCGCCGTAGGGAGAGCACGGGACCGGGCTACGGGGAAGGGGGCACGGCGCACGCATGGCTTCCAATAGCTTCTTAGTTCGCCAGCGGCTCAGCGGGCTGAGTCAGGTGCGGCCGGGGGAGGAGCCAGTCCTACCCAGCCGCCTCGTAGCCTCGTCTTTCCCGGCTCGCCCTCTCAGGCTCCACCTTGGCGTTCAACCGCCGTCGTGCCCCGCCTCGTTGGACGCCCCACCCCGCGGGCTCTCCGGCCCCGCCCCGCAGGCCCTCAGACCACGCCCCATAAGGCGCCCCGCCCCGTAGACCATCGGGCTCCTCCCCATCGGACGCGCCGCCCCATAGGACGCCCCGCAGGCCCTCCGTTTACGCCCCATCGGGCGCCCCGCCCGCGCAGGCCCCCGGCCACGCCCCTCAGACCCTCCGGTCACGCCCCATAAGGCGCCCCGCCCCGTAGACCATCGGGCTCCTCCCCATCGGACGCCCCACCCCATAGGACGCCCCGCCCCTTAAACCCTCCGGTCACGCCCCATAGGGCGCCCCGCCCCGCAGACCCTCCGGCCACGCCCCTCGGCCACGCCTTGCCCCCCCCCGGCCCCGCCTTCCCGTTCTCGCCGCCGAGCTGCTCCGGTAGCGCCGCTCCCCTCCTCCGCCCCGCGTCCTGACTTTCTTCCCTCCTTTCCTTCAGAGGATGTCCGCCTTCCAGATCAACCTCAACCCGCTCAAGGAGCCGCTCGGCTTCATCAAGATCCTGGAGTGGGTGAGTGCAGCCAGCGACACGGACCCCGGCCGGCCCCGCGCGGGGGGCGCCCTGCGGGGAGGCGGGGAGGCGGGGACCGCGCTCCCAGGCCGCGGGGCGGAGATGGCGGCCGGTGGCGTCGAGGTGCGGGTGCGCGTGGCTTGTCCCGGCCGCCTTTCGACGCGGAGGCGTGGGAGCGGCTCGCTTTCCTCTCAAGCTCCACCGCCAGCCGCAAAGGAAGACCGGACATCCTGCTGCGGTCCAACCGAAACCGAGCTCCCGGAGGCCCGCGCCCTCCGCGGCCGAGCCGACCTGCGCTGGCTCTTCGCTGGCGGGGTTAAAAATAGTGTGTGGGTCAGGGACGCTGAGCGAGGCCCTTTGCCCCACACGCATCCTGCTGCTCGGCCCATTTAATACCTTGCCTGCCGAGGACATCGAGATGGTTTTCTCTTCTAGCAACATCCTGCTTGGAAAGTCAGCTCTCAGCCCTTTCCCTGGCAAACAATCATTAACATCAAAGGAGACTTGCTAGTTCGACCTTGGCGCTCGAAGTTAGTTTACCGAGCGCTGCGATCTGCCTCACACACTTCGTGGCCCACTATACAGTTCGGTGCCGGTTTTAAAAATGGTTAACTTACGCTGTTGGCATTTGTTTGCCCAGTGTGCCGTCAGGTTGTGTTTTTATAGCCAGTAACGTTTAACTCCTTCACAATTCATTCCAGTTCCCTACATGTGTTTTAACATAGAACTTCAAGTTTTCCGAGGATGCTTTGATTTTTCTATTTACACTATTTGCCACCAGTTTTATGAAAACTGGAACGGGTGCCGGTTTCTTGCGTGTGGCAAAAGACACGTGACTTTTTGTACAAACCTAAGTTTATAAGAAACTTATTAATTTAATCCCCAAAGTATAGGCGAGAAATCAAAGAAATGTAAAGAAAAAAATCAAGAGAAAATCCCTTACGTTTAGTCTCTTTGAAGTTTGCAATTCAGTTTAATAATTTAGGTTTTCACTTAAATGTATTTTGAAGTAGGGGTGATTATGTTGTTGTTGTATTTTGAAATTATCCTTAAATGTAAGGAAATGCTATCTTCAGTTTGAAGACTTTACCACGCAGGCAGTAATTTTGTAATAAGACTGTATTGTGTTAATGGCGTGCTGAATATTTACCCAACAAATATTTGAGGCTGTCTATTTGAGCGCCGTGCTAATGATCGTTCTGGATGGCGTGGAGTATATAGACACCATATGGTAAGTTCTGTACTGAAGCTCCTTGTGAAGTGTGGTGGAGGAAGCAAGCAGGAGGAGGACGGATGCGCCCATTTGGGTGGGGATGCCCAGTGACTTTCTAGTGGGGGGCAGCATGGCACTGTAAGAAGTACTCGGTTGGAACATGGACATGCTGGGCAAAAGTATGGTTCTAGATGATTATGACAGGTAGGTTTTGAAGCCCTTGATCCTCCTGAGGTTTTAGGCTTAAAAACTGGCCCTTTGTGTACAAGTGTTAGGCTGTGTATTGGGTAGTGTCCAGTTACGCCCAGGGGATTCATTGCATTGTTAACAGTGTAAAAATGGCCAGCCACGGAGAGAGAGCTGTTGCTTTAGAGATTACCTGTGCCTAACATGTGTTGTGAGGATCGGGAGGTCGAGAAGCTAAAATATAGAGAGAGAAGTAGCATTCTTGTGATGACCAGCATATTTCTGGCTTGGGTTGATAACGGCCTTATTGTCCAAGTCATTAAGAGGAAGGGGAAATATTTGGATGGTTATCCAGGATATATTGTTGGCAATCCCTTCACATAATGTAAGCTGCAGTGTCCTGACAGCAGTGGTATATATGAGCCTAACTGTTGAGTGTACAGCTCAGCAAAGAGGAAAGGGTTAGGGTTAGGGTGGGTGTTGAGAAACATCTTGACATCACTGCTAGAATTTCAAGTAAAGAATGCTCAGAAACGTCAGGTGCTATGGAGCACTTGGGGAAAATCAGAGCCAAAGCGTGTGTCTTGTTTTTGTAGTCAGGAGGCTTGAAGACATTAGCAAGAGTAAAATCAGAAACCGCCTTGGTGTAGGCTAAGGGGTGGGTGTCGGGGAAGGTGATGAACTCAGTGAAGGTTGACAGTATTTGGGGGCACAGGAGAGTTGGTGGTGTTAGAAAGAAAAATGAAATGCTAGTTTCAGTCACAGCTCATTTGTTTAAATACTTTTTCTAGGGCCGGCCATTATCATGAGATGTGCAATAAAAATCTTTGTGTTTTCCGCCTCTTAAACTAGTAAGATTAGGACTCAGGGTTTAATCATTTTTTTCTGCTTCATCCAACATTTTTTTTCTTTTGACTTTTTGAGGCGGGGTTTGGCTGAAGGAGCTCCCACAGCACGGTTTCTCTGTGTGGCTCTGGCTGTCCTGAAACTTCCTCTGTAGATCAGGCTGACCTCAAACTCTTGAGATTCACCTATCTCTGCCTCTTGAGGGCTGGAATTAAAGGCATGCACCACCACTGCCTGGACATCAAACATTCTTAAGTGAACTTTTTTCCCCCAAGCTGCTAATACTGCTGATTTTTTAAAGCCCAGCCGTTTTACCCATCAGTCCATTTGCTTAATCAGTGCAGGTGTCAACATACTAGAATAATTAATGTCTTGGTGTTATTACAAAAGTAATTTTGACCTTTGTAAGTTAAGAGTCTTGGGAACTCTCAGGGGTCTGCAGGCTGAGATGAATGTTTTACTGTACAAAAAACATTGTTGGGGACCAGAAACAGAGTAGAGTAAAAGCCTCTGGGGGTATGATGTAGATATGAGCACTTGAGAAGGTAGGCGGAGACTGGGGAATTGACTCAATGGGCAAAGTGCTTGCTGCAGAAACCCAGGACCTGAGTTTAGATGCCCAACAGGTAGACATTTGTAACCTCAGAGCTGTGGGATGGAGACAGCCAATGTAGCAGAAGTAAGAAGTTCCCGGTTTAGTGAGAACCCTGCCTCAAACAGTGCGACTGAGAACATGGGCATGACCAAGATAGTGCACACCTAACAGCTGAGACTTGGGAGAAAAACATTCTGAGCCTGCATCAGATACCCTGAAACATAGGAAGAAAACCAACTTTTACTTAACTCAAATTTTATCAAGTGTTAACAAATTCTACTAGTTCTCCATAATAAAACATAAAAGGTAGTTTACCGAAAATATCAGGTGTCCCCAGGTTTTTTCCTACATGAAAACATTTTATCAGTGCAAGCATTTTTGCACAAAGCCCTCTATGCATCTGTAGTTTTGGTATACATTTTAATGATAGTACCTTAAGGCATAATGTACATTTAGGGCAAATTTACATTCATATATTTTGTTTTCTTTCTTACATCTTTGAGATAGGATCTCAGGTAGCCCAGGCTGGCCTCAAACTTGATTTGTAGCTGGTTCTGGCCTTGAAATCCTGATCTTTCGGCTCCCAACCCCTGAGTGCTAGAATTATAAATATGTACCACCACAGCTAGCTTATATTTTTTAAATCCTTATATTGCAATCAGTTTTTATTCTAGTTTGATAAAGTTGAATCTGTTTTTATCTCACAGTGTGACTTCCAGTTCTTTTATATGTGAATGTATTATCAGTCTACACATCCTAGCACATAGTTTCAGACCACCGATCCATTTTGTAAAGGCTCATTTGGTTACAGCTACTTTATTCCATAAACCTGTTGACAGGGATACTCACACTGGGATATATGAACACTAAAAACGAGAAAATGAGTGAGGTTATTGCTCTGTTCTTCCAGGTGTATGATTCAGAACATTGCTAGTCCACTGCATCCACATATGACCTTCTTAATGTGCAGGCCCAGCAGTAAAGTTCTAATTCTCTCTAAAACTATGTGAATGGAAGTTTAAATGTAGCTGGGCAGTGGTGGTGCACACCTTTAATCTCAGCACTCAGGAGGCGGGGCAGGTGGATCTCTGTGAGTTCGAGGCCAGCCTGGTCTACAAGAGCTAGTTCCAGGACAGGCTCCAAAGCTACACAGAGAAACCCTGTCTCGAAAAACTAATAATAATAAATTTTTAGAAAGTTAAAATGTTTAAGATGTTCGGCTGAAGAGAGAATCAATCCCTTGTCTGTGCTTTCATTCTTCTTGGTTAGCGGAGGAAAGTGAGTTTCACAAGGACAAGGAACTAGTGTCGTTTACTATAGACTGTGGGACAGACCGTCGTGTTCAGAGCACCTCAGGAAAAACAATAGTATTCTTACCAGGTGTAACATGCTTCCTGCAGATTGTCAGGACCCTAGAGAGCGAGCCAGTCTGGAAAGCGCCTGCCCTGTTTTTAATGTCCCTCCCTTTCTGTATGACTGCTTCTCTGTGAGAGTGTGATTCTGATGTTGCGGTATCTTCAGCTTTCCCATGTGTGCTCAGGAAAAGCAGCACGCCCAGGTTTATGTGCAGCATCCCAAGTTTAATGATAAATTCACATTTTAAAAATAAATACTGAAAGAATTATGTAAGTCTAGCATAGTCAGGTTTTCCTGGTGGGCAGCCAGTATATAACGTACTGTTTTGGTGGGGTTTTGTTTGTTTGGGCTTTTATTATTTGAAACAGGCTCTTATATAGCCCAAGCTGTCCTGGAACTTGCTTTGTAGCTCAGACTGGCCTCAAACTCAGAAATCCTCTTGCTTGTGCATCCCAAGTGCTAGAGTTAAAGGTGTGCACCACCACTCTCAGCTAGTATATAACTTCTAATCTTGGTCAGACATTCTGTACAATAAAAATAGAGTGTTGGTTGTATGGTCACTCAAATAATTACCTTGAGTATTTCAGTTATTATAAATGTGCACCTTATTCCTTTTTCTGGGTAAAAAGAATACAAGAATTACTAGCATGAAAGCAAAACTTGTTAGGATAGTACAATGCTCTCTAATTTCTGTATTAACAAAATGCACAAGGAAAATTGTAGTGGTAGAGCTAGTGCTGGATAGACTAGTGTCTGTAGGTCCAGGTCAGTGAATTAGTTAGTGCTGGATAGACTAGTGTCTGTAGGTCCAGGTTAGTGAATTAGGTAGAGATTCATGCATGCAGCTTAGCATAAATCCTGGCATGTTCCGGAAGCAGTAAAAGTTCAGAGTGTCAGTCATAACAGTACCTGACAGAGAACATGGTTCAGCTAAGTCTGGAGAAAAGGTTGTGGCTGCAGTAGCCATGCCATTCATGACAAATGTGGCAGGTGTTTAATTTGTTTCTTAGTACAGACCTGAAAAGCATTGGAGGACTCCCTTTAAGCCAGGCTACGTGATCAGGTTGCTATTTCAGATTAGTGTGACATCATTTCTAAAGTAACTTTGTCCAAAAAGTAAAACACAGCAAACAAAAGCATACATTACAGAGTAATTGAATGTTGTATTAGCCATAAAGGTGAAGTTAATAAGTTACTGATGGTAGGTGGTGCCACTCCCTGTGCTGGCGGTCCTGGTTCTTTAAGAAGGCAAGCTGAGCAAGCCATGAGAAGCAAACCACTAAGCAGCATCCTCCACGTCCTCTCCATCAGCCCCTTCCTCCAGGATCCTACCCTGTTTGAGTTCCTGTCCTGATTCCTTTGGTGATGAACAGCAATGTGGAGGTGTAAGCTGAATAAACCCTTTCCTTCCCAGCTTGCTTTTTGGTCATGGTGTTTTGTTGTAGCAATAGAAACTGGAGCTATGACAACGACTGACTACATTCTTACCCCCAGTTTATGTGTTTTACACTTACAGCATGGTACAGTTTAGATGGCAGCGTTCACAGTTCAGCAACCATTGGTGTCTGGTGGTTGTTTTCATTGTATGCTGTAGCGTTAGAGCCCACACAATGGAAGATGTGTGCTGATTGGAATAAAATTAGAAACAGCCAAAGTTTGTTGAGTGAGTCCAGTGAAAACCAGTAAGGGCCTAACCAAAGTGTGGTAGATGTGATACACGCATCCTTTAAATGGTTCTAGACTAGATATGCTGGTGTAAGCCAGAGCATAGAACTGGAGACAGAAGACACAGTTCTGTGAGCTGAAGGCCAGCCTCGTTTGCAAAGTGGTCTTTATCTTTAACAAACTTTTTTGAAAGTTTTCATATTCTGTATAATCTTACACAACCTGTTGTTTTTTTTTTTTAATTCAGCATTAGATTTCTGCAACTCCTTTATATTGGTGTGGTAAGCTGTAGTTCTTGTAACTTTTTTCTTTATGGTGTTTTGTTTTGTTTTGATTTTTAAGAATGAGGGGCTAGAGAGATGTCTCGGCTATTAAAAGCACTTGTTTTTGTAAAAGACCCAGATTTGATTCTTAGCACCTGTGCGGCGGCTCGCAGCCATCCATGGTTCCAGTTCCCAGGGATCCATCACCCTGTTCTGACCTCTTGAGTCACCAGGCACTCCTGTGGTACACAGACACATATAAGCAAAACTCTTGACTCAATGCACATAAATCTTTTAAAAAATGGTTTGCGGACACTGCAAGAGGACAGGCACCAGGATGGTAGTAGCTAGGGTATCTCATTTGATTATACCTTTGCACTGTAAGAGTGTGCTTCTACGGTCAGTTTTCCTGCTTCTTTCTCCTCCCCTGGATATAAACAGTATTGCTGTGAGCATTCATAGAGAAGGTTCAGTATGAGAAAGGGTCTCCTTAGATCTTTGGCACCTTTTTGTTAGAAATTTATTCATCTATTTATTTATTCTGTGTATATGAGTGCTCTATCTGCATGTACAGCCTTATGCCAGAGAGGGCATCAGGTCCCACAGTTGATAGCTGTGAACCATCATGTGGTTGCTGGGAATTGAACTCAGGACCTCTGGAAGAGCAGTGCTTAACCACTGAGCCATCTCTCTAGTTCTGTGACTTTTTATTACAAGCATTTCATCTACTTTGTAGCTTGCTCTATATTCAGAAATTGACTTTTGATTTTAAATTTTCTTCTGTAGTTGAAATTAACTGTTTTATGGTTAGTGCCTTAAATAATTCTGCATGGTTACAGGTTTTCCTTTTTAAAGGCTTTTTCATTTAGATTGTGGCTCCTTTGAGCCATGTATTGATTAGCCCTTTATTTGGTTATCTATCACTGGATAGTAAACTGCCCCAGCACAGCAACTTAAAACCACAGATATTTATTACCTCATGGTTTCTATGTGGAAGGAATCAGAGGCTTTAGGTTCAGGGCTTCTGAGGTTCTTGTCAGCTACTGGCCAGAACTGTATTTTAATCTTCCAGCCTCTGGCTCTCTCATGACTGCTGGCCTTCACAGTTCCACTTCCAAGCTCAGTCATTTGGTTGTATTGGTCCCATGCCCTTTAAGTCTTCAAAATGTGCCGGGGGTGGGGGGTGGGGTGGGGGTTGAGGGTATAGTGGAAGAGCACATGCCATAGCTTGCTCAAGGTCTTGGATTCAGTCCCTAGCACGTGGCGTGGGAGACACGCGTTCTGGGTATAGTGGCTCCTGCCTGTGCTTCCAGCACTCAGGGGGTTAGTGTTAGAGGAGGGCATGAAGGAGAACAGATCTGCTGAGATTACATGCGGGCGTGAACATGTTTCAGGCAGAGGGAACAGCGAAGGAAGGCCCTGAAGGAGGTGTTTAGTGACTAGCCCCCAGATAAGAAGTGTGTAGAAAGTTAAGGGAAAGGGAAAATAGCAATCAGTGTAATAGAGTTAAAGACATGAAGGAAGTAAAGGGTGTTCGAGGGCTCAGCCAGGGAAGGTAGTCTGCTCACACACGTGTGTGCACACTGCAGGGCTCAGCCAGGGAAGGTAGTCTGCTCACACGTGTGTGCACACTGCAGGGCTCAGCCAGGGAAGGTAGTCTGCTCACACACGTGTGTGCACACTGCAGGGCTCAGCCAGGGAAGGTAGTCTGCTCACACACGTGTGTGCACACTGCAGGGCTCAGCCAGGGAAGGTAGTCTGCTCACACGTGTGTGCACACTGCAGGGCTCAGCCAGGGAAGGTAGTCTGCTCACACACGTGTGTGCACACTGCAGGGCTCAGCTAGGGAAGGTAGTCTGCTCACACACGTGTGTGCACACTGCAGGGCTCTGAAGTGTGGCAAAGAAGGAATCAGAATCGAGGCTGTTAGTGCAGACTCCAGCCGAGAGGTGATTGGATAGTCATCTAGATTAGGAGGTGATGGGTAGGCCCCACATGTATTTTGAAAATAAGAACTATTGACATTTACTGAATTACTGAATTTTTAGTTATGATAGCACCCAAAGCAAAGTATTTTTGTTGTGGAAAAATTTAGAAGACAAAAAGAAATTAAATCTTGTATCTTGTGTTGTACTGAAAGATGATCACTATTAAAATTTTCATGTAAATTTTAGTAAAAATTTCTACGTTGTACCGTCTTTGTGTGTGTAGATGCGGATACATAGATAATGTATTGTATAAACATTCTGTATGTTATGAGCATGTTGCTATGTTATTAAATAATCTCTAATATTTTAGCAATTAAAAGTTTATCCTATTGTATAAATGAATTCTAGTTTATGTGACTCTCTAGCGATACGTAACATGCTTCTGGGTTTCCTCTCATAAGTAGAATTAAGGAAGCATTATTATATTTTTAAGCATATGTATTGAAACCCAAAAATACTTGAAAGTGATATTTCACACATTCATGAGTTAGAAAAGAGTCTCGTTCTATACAACTTCTTGTTTCCAGCAGTATACCAGTTACTTGAGCCCCAAACAAAAACACCTTCCTTTTACACCTGTTTAAAATTTTGATAGAGAAAAATGAGTCTTATTTGAATTTCTTTGCTTTGTGTTTTTGTTTTTTTGAGAAAGGGTCTCTATTATCTGTCTGTCCTGGAATTCTCTGCATCTATGTAGACCAGGCTGGCCTTGAACTCAAAGCACTCCTGCCTCTGCCACAATACCCCAAAAGTCTTCTCTGAATTTCATATTGTATGGGCTGGTGTATTTTATATACTCAGGAAAATAGACTCACATTTTGTAATGTTTTCAGCATACGGCTAGTAATTTCTAGAATACTTGTGAGCCAGCATTTAGTGACCAGTGTCCTTATGTTTTAATGACTTTGGTATAGTAATGCTTCTCTTTTTTCTGTGTTTTGGTCTCGTTTTATGTAGTTTGCTTCCATCTTTACTTTTGCCACCTGTGGCGGGTTTAAGGGCAAAACAGAGATTCTAGTGAGTTGTCCTTCTAAAGGTGTTGCAAATGAGACGATTACAGCAGCTTTTGGCTACCCATTCAGGTGAGTTATCTTTTAATTGTTTTTTTAAATGTTTATTTATTATGTGTACAATATTCTGTCTGTGTGTATGTCTGCAGGCCAGAAGAGGGCATCAGACCTCAATACAGTTGGTTGTGAGCCACCATGTGGTTGCTGGGAATTGAACTCAGGACCTTTGGAAAAGCAGGCAATGCTCTTAACCGCTGAGCCATCTCTCCAGCCCTTAACTTTTAATTGTTAAACAACTGTTTTTAACTCCATATTTAGTGGCTCGGGTTTCTAACAGCTGGTCTGAACTCAATGGCAAAGGCCTGTACTCTGCAGTCACAGCACTTGGGAAGCCAAGGCAGGAGGACATTCCAAGGGGATCTGGGGAGCAGACCCTGCCTGCCTCAGCTCTCACCACGTGAACTGGGACATATACTCCAGCATTTGCTCATAGAAGGTGGTAGAATCATTTGGATTTCGATCTTCACTTGTGAGTTTTTACTTAGACTGTGGTACAGACCAGTGCCTGTCTGTAGATGGAGACTGTTTGTTCCTGGACACCCAGATCCAAAATAATCACACAGAAACTATATTATTTGCAATACTGTTTGGCCAATAGCTTAAGCATATTTGTAACTTGCTCTTTCATCTTAAATTAACCCATTTCTATTATTTTATATTTTATCACGAGGCTCATGGTTCACCAGCAAGGTTTCTGAGCATCTGTCTCCTGTGGCAGCCACAAGGCATCTCCCTGACTCCGCCTACTCTCTCTCTCTACATCTGTTTGGATTTCCCATCTCACTTTACTCTGTTAAGCCATTGGCTGAAAACAGCTTCTTTATTAACCAATGGCAGTAAAATATATTCACAGGTGGATGGGAATCCCACATCACCTGTCTGCAAACTTTTTCTGGTGTCTGATGAAGAAAATATACAAAGGGGAAGTTTATTTATTACTGCTTTGGCCCACAGTTTCGAGAGGCTGTACCATGGTAGTAAGTCAGCCTCGTGACCTTGGGCAGAATCAAGACAGAGTGAGTTTGTGGCAAAGGCGGCTCTTCATCTCGTGGTGAAATAAGATGTCCCAAATGCCCTGTTTCCTCCAGCAAAGCCCTTGCTGACATCACTAGGGAGCCAAGTGTTCATTACAGGAGCTTACATATGACTTATCATACTAAAGTCATAGCAGCGAGGCAGTTATGTGTGTGGCACATGCCTTTAATGTCAGCACTAGGAGGACTGCCTCAGTCTACATTGCAGTTCCAAGGGGATGGGGGGTAGATCAGATGATCGCAGAGAGCGGCCGTTGTCTTGACATTCTGTCATGTGACAGTAGATCAGAAGTGGAGGAAAATGGAGACTGTTGTGTTAGTGAGCAAACTCGGTTTATCAAGACACACATTCCGCATGCCTCTGCAGCTCCTGAACTGATAGTGTTCTGTGTCATTTTAAGACATACACAAAGCATACCATTTCACAAGTATAAAAGTCTGTGTATTTTACGTTTAGAGGACTTAGAGAGGCACAAAGCAGCAGCAGGTCTCTTTCCCACTGGAAGGTCTGTGGGGGACATCGTGTCTGAGTCTTCTCTGCTTGGCTTTACTTGATATCTCACAAAGACCAATAAATTGGAAGTATAATATTTTAAGGATATTTTGATAAATAAAAAAAATTTAGGCAAGATTTCACTATATAGCTCTTGTTGGTCAGGAACTTGCTGTGTAGACTAGGCTGGCCCAAGAACTCGTAGAGATCTGCCTCTCTCTGTTCCCTGTGTGCTAAGACCAAAGGCCTGCACTGCTGCGCTCCGTGAATAAGATATTACATTAAAGGTCTGTGTATCCTGAGAGCTCACCAATCTTCTAACCTTTTCTACCACTTACTCGTTTGGTTACAGTAACCGTCATCCTTAATGACAATTGGGTTTATGATTTACAAATGGGTAAATGTAAGGCAGTGAATTTTCCTGTAGCAACTGATTAATGAAGAGTTAAATATGATTTGTGGGCTGCGGAGATGGCCCAGCAGTTAAGAGCCCTGGCTGCTCTTTCCAAGGACCTAGGTTCAATTCCAAGCACCCATACATGGCTCACAACTGTCTGAATTCTACTTCCAGAGAGTCTGATGCCTTCCTCTGACTTCTGCAGGCATGGGCACACAGGTGGTTCACAGACATTGATGCAGGCAAGACATCCACACACATAAGATAAAAATTAAAACTGGGCCTCCAGGTTGGTTGACTGTATCTTTTTTAAAAAAAAAAAAAGGAAGAAGATCATAATTGGTTCTCCTAGAACTAGTGGCCCAGACCTCTGCCTCTTAGAATATAAATAATGTTAAGACTGTTGGACTCCATTTACAGTGAATCTGTCATAAACCTATTGCTGAATAAATTTATGGGTCTGTGTCATATGAAATTTTTGTTTTAGTTAAGCATTTGAATATTTTTTAAAAAGAGAATGTTTTTAGTTTACTTGGGAATTTATTTTGAAATGTCAGTATTTCTCTGCTGGAGTTCAGCGGTTTGTGTATTTATTTTTTATAGGTTGAACCAGGCGTCCTTCCGCTCGCACTCCAGTGGCAACGTGTGTAATGTGACGTGGGAAAAATACGTCCTCATAGGCGACTACGCCTCCTCTGCGCAGTTCTACGTCACCTTTGCCGTCTTCGTGTTCCTTTACTGCATGGCTGCCCTGGTGCTCTATGTGGGCTACACCAGCCTCTACCGGGAGAGCCGCAAGCTGCCCATGATTGTAAGTGATCGTGCCTGCTCTGTGGGAGTGAAGGAGAGCTTGCCTCAGTCATCAAGCTTAGTCCAGTTTCATAGCCTGTTTATTCTTAAGAGAGTTGGTTAATTTTTATAAACCTGGAAAGCTCTTGAATATTTGATAAATCCATAAGTTTTAAGTAGCTAAAAGTTGAGAAATTGATGTCTTTAATTTGAAGAGTTGCAGGTCTCATTTCTGCTTCTCATCTTTGTTCTCTTTCCTCAAAACCCCTTTTATGCCACTATCATTTTTTAGTGAGCTCTGTTTTCTTTATCAGCAAAGTGTGGCCCAAAGATCAGATCTGACTTTTTTAAATAGGACATTGTCTAGCAATACTCAACCCCTTCCTTATACATGCATTGCATATGGCTGCTCTTATGCTAAATTCTGACCAGATAATTCTTATATTCATTATCCCTGGTATCAGCGAGTTACAGCGGATCCTTTGAGATGCCAACAAAGGATTTGGACTTGAAATCTTTATACCTTTCTTAGAGCTTCAGATTCTGCTAATCTAAAAATAAAATAATCTTCAAGAATAAGGGAATAGGCTGTCCTTCCTGGATTATCAGGGGCAAGTCCAGAGATAAGCCATGGTTTTGTGTCAGACCTCCACTATAAAGAAATAACTTTAAAGTCAATGTGGAGGGTCTTATGATGATGCTAGTCATTTGTATCTGTGAAAAAAGCACTGAAAAAGAAGGCTTTGAGATAAATTATACTTACCAATTTATTTTTAACTTTTGCTGCTTGGATTATAGAATGTAAATGGTAAGTAAAGAACAAAATCATTTTTTACATATGTATGTTTTCTATTTCCTGTCTGGAAAAGCAGAAGAAAGCTGGTTGTTTCCATAAATATTTGTGGCTCTTGACTACATTTTGAAGTGTTTATTCATTACAGATTAGGAATCTATAGCTTTGGACAGTTCAGGCTTTGCCTTAAAAAGTGACTAGATTGATCATATTGATAATATTTTTAATTTTTTGCTTGTTTGTTTTGTTTTTCAAGACAGTGTTTCTCTGTGTAGTCCTGACTGTCCTGGAACTTGCTCTTGAGACTAAACCAGGCTCGAACTCAAAGAGAGCCAAAATTCTTCATTTGTAAAGGGTTTTTTGTTTTGTTTTATTTTGTATTTCGTTATACCAAAACATTCCTTTTTACTAAATAAAGCAACCCTTTCTTGTATTTTATCCAATAACTTCAAAATTATTGCACTTGGGTCAGTATTAAGATTTAGTTTGTAGAGTGCTTTTTTTTTTTTTTATTGAGCTCTACATTTTTCTCTGCTCCCCTCCCTACTTCTCCCCCCTCCATCAACCCTCCCCCAAGGTCCCCATGCTCCCAATTTACTCAGAAGATCTTGTCTTTTTCTACTTCCCATGTAGATTAGATCTATTAAGTCTCTCTTAGTGTCCTCATTGTTGTCTAAATTCTCTGGGATTGTAATTTGTAGGCTGGCTTTCTTTGCTTTATGTTTGAAAACCACCTATGAGTGATTACATGTGATAATTGTCTTTCTGTGTCTGGATTACCTCACTCAAAATAATGTTTTCTAGCTCTATCCATTTTCCTGCAGAATTCAAGATGTCATTATTTTTTCTGCTGTGTAGTGCTCCATTGTGTAATTGTACCGCATTTTAGAGTGCTTTCTTTATGATAAAAGTAAAACAATCTAGCTGGGTTTTTTCTGTATTTTTTTCAGAAGTATTTTTCTGTATTAGAGTGATGTTATTGGTCATGTAGATATTTCACAGTTGGTTTCATCAGTGGTTTTTGCTAGTATAACATAGGATGAGCTCTTACTTTCTGTTGTTGTTTTGTTGTTTTTGAGACAGGCTGCCCTGCTAGCTAGCCAACGATAATGTTAAACCTTCTGGTCTTCTGTCTCTGCTCTTAAGTGCTGGGAATACAGGTCTGTACTACCATGCCAAGAAAAATGGGTGCTTCTTGTTTATAAAAGTAAAATTCAGGAGCTGGAGAGATGGCTCAGCAGATAAGAGCACATACTGTTCTTCTAGAAGGCCTGAGTTTATTTCCCAGCCCCCATATTAGGAAGCTCACAACTTCCCATAGCTCTGGCTCCAGAGGGATGCAGTACCCTTTAATGACTTTCCCTACCCTCCCTAGAAACACACACACAATTTAAAATAATAAAAGTAAATTTTTATATACCCAAATTTTAAATATAACAAGTTACAAGTTTGTTGTTAATTAACATTATTCTCAATTCTGTACTAAAGTATTTTAAGTATTTCAGGTTCAGATTTTTGAGTCTAGGTTTTCTTTTTTAATATAGTACTTTTTTGTATAAAGTAGCAGATGATTTAATGGTGCAACAAGTCAGGAATATCAAAATTTAAACACAGAAGAAAAGATTTCCAAATTCTAAAATCTTTGATGAATCATACTAACTTACCAGTTGGAGCCCAGAAGCTGCAGGTTGCTGCATTGCAGACCTCAGGTGGGACAGCTGTCGTAGTCTGGTGTGTGGCAGAGTCTAGGAGGAGGGACCACAGTAATCACTCTGTTTTTTTCCACAGAGTTTATTTTGTGCTCCATGTTTAGAAAAGTTACTACCCTTTGAGATAGGTGGATGTTATGCCTTAATCTAAGTGTCAGCAAATCAGATTTCAAGAGCGTAGCCTGTGGGCTGGGAAGATGGCTGCCCTCATTGGTAAAGTGTTTGCTATGAGAGCCTGGGGGCTGAGCTCACCTGAGTACAGGTGTGCAGCCCAGCACACACACACACATTACAGACAAGCACTCATATTCACACACATACAGAGAAAATAAGCATAAGCAGGAGAAAAACAGATGTTTTAGCCAAGAATTCAAAAGGAAGAAAATAACTGAAAATTAAGATATCTGACATATTTTTTGTCAAAGCTATTACTTTGTCGTGGAGGAAATGTTTTTAGTGTGACATTTTTTATCAGGTTTCCCAAAGATAAGAAGTTCTTAGGAAATGTCTGTGTGCAGCAGTAGAGCAGAGGAGAGGGTCGGCTGCAGAGCAGGCAGGGAGAAGAGCTTGTGTAGTTAGCCCTTAGTTTGTCCTCTGAGCACAAATACTGTTCATTGTATGGTTAAAGGGAGGCTGGTGAGACAAGTAAGGTCTTTTAAAGAAGTTTGCATTCATTTCCTTTTGTGTACACGTGTGTGCACATGCATACAGTGGTGCACATGTGGAGGTCAGGACAGCTTGCATGATCTATTGTCTCCTTCATGGATCTAACTCAGGTTGTCAGCCTTGGTGACGAGCACCTTTATCTGTTGCACCATCTCCCTGGTCCAAGATAATTAAAATTTAATTTTATTATTTTTTAAAGAATTCTTCAGTGATAAGCCTTAGATCTCATTTCTGGGTTTGGATGAACTGGTTTGGGGCTGACTTCTGCTGCTAACATACCTGAGCAGATGCCTTGATATCCTATATGTGTAGAGGAGCATCAAAGCTATTATTTATAACTAAATTCCCATTTAGTTCACAGGAAGACCACATAAGGCGAGACTTGAGAGAAACGTCACATTGCACAGATTTGTACTCTCAGTGTTTAGGTTTTTGAAACCTGTCCAGTGGGCAGTATTTTATTTCCCTGGCAGAAAAGATTGGATAAGGAGGTTTTTCTTTCTTTCTTTCTTTCTTTCTCTTTCTTTCTCTTTCTTTCTTTCTTTGTCTTGTTATTACTGTAAAAAAAACTAAAGTATTAAAACCTTCATGTTTATTTTTGAGCATGTAATAATTAACAGGATTCAGTAGAAAACTGAACTTCTAAAGGTACTGTTTCATCTTTTTTTAATAAAATGAACATTGTCTTTAAAATTTTTGTAGTAGTTTTTTATTTTTGAAATTATAATTACATCACAACCCCTCCTCTGTATCCCCCTTACTCTTTCTCAAATTCATGGCCTCTTTGATTGTTATTACTTTTTTCCTAAATATATAACTAGAACTTGCTCAGCTCGTATCACATTGTGTGTGGATGATTTCAGGACTGACCACTTGAATTAATGAGCAGTCAGATGATTGTTCCTACTCCGAGAGCTCCCTGTCTCGGCTTGAGACCTGAGCCCCCTCCTTCCGTAAGAGCTCGTCTGCTGGTGTCATCCTTGTTCAGATCTTTGGACATGTAGTTTCTCTGACATTCTAGGAGGCATGATCTCACAGCAAACTCCTGTTCCTCTGGCTCTTATAGTCTTCTTGTCTCCTCTTCTCAGGATTCCTGAACCTTGGATGCAGGAGCTGTGTAACAAATGTATTGGTTGTGGTTTTCTGTGATGTCTGTGGGTCTAGAGGTAGATATTAGAATGTAGTTAGGAATTAGAGTGGTTTATTTAGGCAAGTGACAGTTGTAGGTTACCGTCAAGATCCATCATTTCTCTGGCTCTGGATAGTCGCCTAGGCTTCCAGTACCAGGCACGACTTCCCTCTTGTTGAGGAGGCCTTTCATCCAATTAACAGCTCTTGGTCTCTGCCCTAATGTGCACACGTGCCGTGCAGTCATTGTGGTTCACAGCAGAGCTGACTAGGACTGTTGGAAGTATGCACGGTGCCTACTGGACCATGAGAGCTCATCTGTAGGGAGGAGCCTTTCAGGTCAGCTGCTCTGCTCCCCTAGTGCAGGTCCTCTGGGTCTGTGTCAGAAATGCAGTGTTGTCAGCAGTGGGAACTCAGCTTGCATCTCATAGCCTGTAATGTTTGGAGTCTCTTGGACAACACTGACCAACTCCTGGGCTTGGTGTTTCTGTTAGCAAGTCTATGGTTCTTGTCTCTTGAGGGAACATTGTTGACCTAAATAGGAAACTTCATTTATATTCTCATTCTCTCTCTCTCTCTCTCTCTCTCTCTCTCTCTCTCTCTCTCTCTCTCTCTGATTTTATGTGGTTACATAATAATATGGTTCCTGATAACTTCAGACATCCTATTATTTTACCCTCCTTCCGTATTCCCTTCTTCCCTTCCCTAATTAAAGCCTCTATAATTTTTAAAAATTTTCTATATATAGGTATTTTGCCTGCATGTGTATCTGTGTACCCCATGCATGTAGGGCTCATAGAGACCAGAAGAGGGTATCAGATCCCTAGAAGCTGGAATTAGAGGAAGTTATGAGCCACCCTATGGGTGCTGGAAACTGAACTTGGGTCCTCTGGAATAACAGCCTCTGCTCTTAACCATTGAGCCATTTTCTAGCCCCTAATGAACATTCTTAAACTTAAGATTGGTTTGTGTTCTTTTTTTTAAACCACTTTAGTAATCTGTCTCTTGGAGAATTATTTTTGACAAGGCTTGAAAATTTTAACTGCACATGGGAAGGGGTTTATATTGTATATGCAAGGAATTATAACTTAGAATATAAGTAATTCAAGTAATGATGGGAGTGAAGTGGGTAACTGAAAAAGAAGAAATGGTAGGGTTGTTTATAGGTCTAAGCTGGGCCAAAGCCTTCTGCATAAAAGATGATGGATGGAAAACACCTGGTCTGGGAGCGCTCCCTCAGTCCCCAGCATTCTAATTCCCAGGAAGCAGAGGCAGTTGGATCTCTTAGTTCCAGGCCAGCCAATGCTACATTGCAAGACTGGGTCTCAAAAAACAAAACAAACCAAAAACATGATAGAAAGTGTTCTTATCGTTTCAGTAGGGGAAAGGAGGACTCAGTGTATTCCTGAGATTGTGGTGTCAATTTAGAAAACTTGACCTTTCTGCATAAGCATTGGACTTCAGGGCTGGAGCGGTGGCTCAGCGGATGGAAACGCTTGTGAGAGCTGGGTCTGAGTTCAGATTTCCAGCACGCATGTGATATTTGGGCGAGGGCATGTGTGTTATGTGCAGAGATGATAGGTGATCCTGGGGGCTTGCTGGTTAGACAGCCTGTCTGAACTGTTCTCCATGTGTGCCTGTAGGCGTGCACACACGTGCCAAAATTATGTCTGGACGATTACTGTGAGGTCAAGACTAGCAAAACCCTGCCTCAGAAATAATAAAATTTTAAGTTGTAGACTTCTCTTTTTTTCGAGACAAGGTTTCTCTCTGTAGCTTTGGAGCCTGTCCTGGCACTTGCTCTGTAGACCAGGCTGGCCTTAGCGCACAAGGATCTGCTGCCTCTGCCTCCCAAGTGTTGACTCTAAGTTGTAGACGTCTAAGGAGATGATTAAGTCTTACTGTGTCTCTGGCATGGTGCTCTAGAAATAGTAAACACCAATGATTAGACTGAATGCGACCTTTTAAATAAAGTCTATCATGAGGACCATCGATACCATGGGATCAAACATAATCCTGATTTCTTTATTACTTATAGGAATTGTGTTGCTTTTAAATTGATTGCTCACTGACTGGAGCTTATTTTTGATCTAGGACTTTATTGTTACTCTTGTTGCCACTTTTTTGTGGTTGGTGAGTTCCTCGGCCTGGGCTAAAGCTCTTACAGATATTAAATTAACTACCGGACAGAATATTATTAAGGAACTTACTCATTGTCAGCAGCCATCAGAAGTCTTGTGTTATTTCCACTCTGTGACTAGTATGGGATCCCTGAATGTGTCTGTGGTAAGTATCTGTTGCTTGCACAGTGTGCTTCATTTAATAGAACAACATTGAAGAAAGTAACTTTTAATCATCTCTGAATAAGTTGATTCTTACTGAGACATGTGGGTTCTAGGGATATATATATATATCCATATATATATATATATATATATATCCATATATATATATATGAAAAGTGTGACCTGTAACCAAGATTTAGAGACTAAAAGACACTAACAATGGTAACTTTTATTGAAATTTTGTGCTAGCCACTGTGCTACAGTATCTGAAGTTACTCAGCTACTCTGAGAGGAATATGAAAAGCAGTTGTTAGCTTCGTTGTACAGCTGAGAAATGTGTTAATGTTCCTCTGAGGAGACACAGCTTTTGAACCAATTCTGACTTTGCACTATTCTCTTAAGTCTGGTTTACTTAGAGAACATAGAACTGACATTTTTAAAGTTTCTCAAATCTGTAAAATTTAATATGTCTGATTCATTAAATATTTTTCTACTGTTCATCAAACTGAAATTGCCAATAACCTTGAATATTTTCTGTTTTGGAAGACTTGCCAGAAAATACTTTTCCATAAGATGAAGTCAGTATTACTTTATAAAGCAGTTTACCCATGTTCTTGATAATAATTCTGATGTAAAAGCCGATATTTGTAGTTTGTATCAACAGGCAGTGCTGTGAGTGCACTTACACAGAAAAGGTAAAGCTTAGTTCCTCCGCTTCTCACCCCACTCTTATTTCTAAGTCACCGTCATTGATGCTGATACTTATTAAATACGGTAGTTAGGCTCACTGATTCCTGCCTGCATGTTGGTCAGTGCAGGGTGTGGAGAGTACACTTCTGGCTGCAGTCAGAAGAGGGAGGGAAATGAGGTTCTAACCATTCCGAATGGAAGAAAAGTGAGAACCGTGCGGGTGCAGACTCAGCTTCCTGTTGCCCCTCTTCACTCTGGGTACCAGAGTCTAAAGTCGTTTTTCTCAAATGGGAGCCTATGTGCAGAAAGAAAAGGTTGCCATTTCTTGTTGTTTTATGTTACAGATTTAGAGGTTAGTTGGGTATAATAAATTATTATGCATCCAAAGTTTGTACGATGGGCTGTATGTATAGACTTTGTCTTTTATTCTAATTTGTATGTAGTTTAAAGCAAACATTCGATTTTTATATTTGTTTCCCTCTTTCATAGATCTTTGGCTTTCTGAATATGATACTTTGGGGAGGAAATGCTTGGTTTGTGTACAAGGAGACCAGCTTACATAGTCCATCAAATACATCAGCTTCCCACAGCCAAGGAGGCGTCCCACCCCCTTCTGGAATATAACTAAATATACTGTATGAAATGTGTGCTGTACTATGCTTTGTTGCCAACATCTTGAGAAGCATTATTGTTTCTAATAAAAAGTAATGGTTTTTTCAGTAAATTGGTGGGTTTAAGATTTTGCTGCTTTTCTATATAAAACGTGCCTTTTCTAGAAATGTAAGATGTAAATGTATTTGTACATGTACGTTTGAACATTCAGGAACCTGTTATGAGATGATACTTATTTTTAAGTGAACAGTAATTTCACTGAGTTACCTTCTAAAGTGTTTACACCTTAAGCCTTAACATAAACCTTCATTCAGAAAAGTTATGTCATATCATAACACAGGAAGAATGAGTTTGGAATATACACTACTCTTAGCTTGTGCACATCGTATCCCTCAGGCTTGGCTTGTTTAAGAAAACCTTGATTGCATAATTTGTATTTAGAAAAAAAATTAGTACAATTTTATATCTGAATATTGTTCATGTTAAAAAAATTTGAATTGCAGAGACTGAGTATATATTTTAAATATTTTTTCTAAATGACCTGCTATACTTATTACGTGTACTAAGATTGTCTTAGGAGCAAGGACTTGGAAATTCTAACAAATGTGTGGTGTTAACTTGGCGCTTCTGTTGCAATTATTTCTGGTGGTTTCTTAGGCTTGCTATGTTAGATCATCGTTCCCAACGGTGGCTTTATATATGTAGGCATTCTCAGTGATCCTTGTTTGATGTCCTTGTTCATGCCAAGGGATAAAAATCTACCTTCTTCTACAAGACCCTGGTTATAGGGTCACTAAAAATTAAGGTTGCCTTTTACTTTTGAAACATTCAACATTGAGTCAATGAAGTTGCTTCTCCTGAGTTTAACATTGATATGGTGAAAATAAATGCTGTTTGGATTTCATACTTCTTAATATCCATTCTTATTCCACAAAAAGATGATTAAGGAATTATGCTCATAAAGGAACCTACGTAAGCTGGATGTTTGTGTGCTGACCTTCCACACACTGGGGTATGTTCAGAATACACTGCTTTTGTTCCTCAGCTCTGTTCTTACAGGGAGGCGTGCGTGTGAAGCACATCATGAGAAAATGCCCTATTTCTGTTGCTTTATTCATGGCAAAGCGGCTCTGTAAGAATGTGTGTTTAATACCGCCAACAATAAAGAAGTTAAAGTAAAGAGTGCCCGGTTGTTATGTCACAGAGAGCCCTCCAGCCTCAGGATGAGCACTGCAGAATCACCCTGATTTCCTAAGCAGGAGGTAGACCTTCAGCAGTAGTAAGAGCTTGTCCGGGAACAGAACAGACTGCAGTGCTTTGGGCGTCATCTCATTTGAAAACGTAACTCTTCAGTTGTTTCCTGATGCACTTTTTCTAATTGGTCAGGCAAATCGCAAAGATTATGATTGCGATTGCTGTATAATGCAGCTGCTTATTATCTAGCCCACTGGGTAGACTGCTTGTCTTACATACACAAGGCCCTGGCTTTAATCCCCTCACTGCATAATCTAGCTGTGGCGGCCCAAGCCTCTGTCAGCACTCTAGTTTAAGGTCATCCTTGCTACCTGAGGAGTCCCAAGGCCAGGCTGGGCTGTGAGAGTCAGGTACGCTCATTTCCTCCTCGCCTGTGCCGTGTGCCATGTGCCGTGTGTGTGTCCTTCCCCTCCACCCCTCTTCCCCCTCCTTTCCCTCCCACCTTCTTTTTCTCGTCCCACCCTGGAACTAATAGAACCTTGGCCATTGACTAGCTGACAAACTAGAAGTACCCTCTTACCTCCATTTGTGTCTGAAAACACGGAAATAAGAGTACTGACCTTGGGCTGGAGAGGTGGAGGGCACCAGCCACTCTTCCATTGGAACAGTTTCGATTCTCAGCATCCACATGACAACTTTTAACCACCTATAACTCCACGGGGATCCAGTGTCTTCTGACTTCCACAGGCAAGCAAAGCACTCGTGTCTTTTTAAACTGACCTCAAAAAGCATACGAAAAGCAAATGGCTGTGAAACCGTGTTCAGCAGGTAAGTCCGCTAAATGTTAGCTATGTCTAGACTGTTTACCTGGAGTGCAGGGGGCTGGGGAAGCAGGAAGAGAGAGCTTCAAGCATACAAGCCTCTCCCTTTGCCGTGTTTGCAATTTGATTTCTCTTAACCAGACCTAGGTGTGACTGTTTGTTTGGTGGTAGATATTGATAAGGTGAGTAGAATAAGTGGTAGTGTACTGAAATCAGAGTAAACTTAGAAAGGACTCCTGCCCCCCCACACCTGCTCCTTAGTGAACATTACAGAGACAGTTTGTAGGACAAACTCAATACAAGCCTCCACTTCCCAGAGATCAGCCGCAGACAGCTTTTTAGATACAGACTCATACTAATGTTTGTTTTTATTTTTAAATAAAGTTCACTTGATAAAGATTTTTAATCTGTAAAAGGAAAGGGCAGCGGTACATATTTTATGTTTGGGGCACAATTAGAAATTTTTATGTAATTGCCGCCCACCGCGCCCCCGTGTCTGCACTCGGTGCACTGGCACCCAATTTGCAAGCTTTGGGCAAGGGGGCAGAGGTTAAAATACACAGACACACACAGAGACAGCGACACGGGTCATCCTTGAATTCCCCAAGAATGCCCCCTTTATTGTGTTCAGGGGCAGATTATATAGAGATAGCCACGCCCCAGCCAAACCCACCAGAAACCACTCTCCTGCCATCAGGAACTCCTGAAGGTCTCGTGCTCAGAGCAGCTGTAGGCACTCAGATCAGGGGATTACAAGAAATTCAGGATCTGGGGTCTCACTGCTCCCAACATGTAATAATTCCAAAAGTACGTGAATGTATAATATACTGATCAATTGCCAGATTTAAAAAAGCATTACAACAACAGCCTTTTCCCTTCTGAGATGCAGTTGGTACAGATAGCTCAGAAATGAGTATTCTGACGGATGCTTGTTGCTGCTGGGGTTTTCTTCTGTGAGAATTTCTTGCTGTGGATGTCACCAGTGCCCCACATCATCTTGGTATAACCCCACGGCATTTAAATAGGCTGTAGCTTCTCCCTTCTCTGACTTGTATTTTTACTGTGTTTTGTCATGTGTGTGTTCATTTCAGTGGTATGTGACCGTCTTCCCAAGGCTTTTAGTTTTCCACAGTGGTTTGGCCATGGTGAAGTCATTTATTCTTGTATACATTTTAGGATCAGCTTGTCTAGTTCCTAAAGACCTTTGTGAGGTCGCATTTGTATGGAATTGCATTATGTTTATAAATCTATTTGTGGAGAATTAATAAGTTTATAATGCCACGGTTTTGTATTTATAAACATGGTATGTTTCTGCACTTATATCTCCTATGTTTCTCAAAAGTGTTTGTGTTGTTTACATAGTTACATTAGATTATATTCTGAGTTATAATTATTTATTACTGTTATACATAAACATCACGTGTGCATTTTTACCTACTGATATTAATAGAAGTTGGCAGGTTTTCAAACCTTGAATTCTTAACATGTAAATTTTTCTGGTATTTGATGTTTATCATCTATAAATATTGATGATTTTATTATGTTTGGAAATTAAACTAAACTTTTTAATTATCATCCTCTATATAGTTGTCAAGAAAATCTATTTTAAAAGTAGAAAATAAATATTGACCTGCCATGGTGAAAACGGCTTCAATGCAGACTTGTAACCACATATTTATACTGTTGTGTACCGATGCTGTAGTAACTTAAACTCTGGTTAATATCAGTTGTTTCTTTGTAGAGTTGACAGCTCAGTGGAAAATACTAGTTGGATTAAATTAGTCACAGTAAGAATGGTCATATGAGTCTGTTATGTTGGAATTTGTTTGACTTTGCTTGGATAAGAATAACATTTAGAGCCAGGCGGTAGTGGCTCATACCATTAATCCCAGCACTTTGGAGGCAGAGGCAGGTGGATCTCTTGAGTTCGAGGCCAGCCTGGTCTACAGATCAAGTTCCAGGACAGCTAGTGGCTAGGAATCCCTACCTGGAAAAACTTAAAAAAAAAAAATAGGGCATTTATAGTTGGTCCATAAGCATGTCTGAGGTATACAGTTTAATATTGAGATGCATTCGTGACGCTCACCACGTCCAGACGATGAACCAGTATCCGTGTGGCCCCTACCCTGACCCACACTGCAGCAGCTATTGTCTCTGAGTATTTTCTAGAATTTTGTGTAAATGAGTTCATCTTAGTACATAATATTTATTTTTTATTTTGAGTGTTCTGTGTAAATTACCAGAATTGCTATGTGCCTCTGTTGGTGAATAGGCTGCTGGGACTCTGGGCTGATGACTGTCTGTGAACACTCACGGGTCCTTTGGCTGGACTCTGGGCTGATGACCGTCTGTGAACACTCACGGGTCCTTTGACTGGATTCTGGGCTGATGACCATCTGTGAACACTCACGGGTCCTTTGACTGGATTCTGGGCTGATGACTGTCTGTGAACACTCACGGGTCCTTTGGCTGGACTCTGGGCTGATGACCGTCTGTGAACACTCACGGGTCCTTTGACTGGATTCTGGGCTGATGACTGTCTGTGAACATTCACGGGTCCTTTGACTGGACTCTGGGCTGATGACCGTCTGTGAACGTTCACGGGTCCTTTGACTAGACTCAGTGGTACACACCGACAGCTTCAGCACTTGGGAGGCTGAGGCAGGAGAATGTTGGGTTGGAAGAAAGGCTGGACTACAAAGGGGAAAAAACAAAAAAGGACAGTAAAAGGTATTAGTGGTGGCACACACCTTTAGACTCCACACTCAGGAGGCAGGACTAAGCAGATCTTGCTGAACTCAAGGCCAGCCTGGTGTACACAGTGAGTTCAAGATCAGCCAGGGCTACAAAGTGTACTGGCTAGCTTTATGTCAGCTTGTCACAAGCTAGAGTCTTGAGAGAAGAGGACCCTCTGTTAAGAAAACGTCTCCATAATATCTGGTCATAAGTCATTTTCTTAGTGATTGATGGGGCAGGCCCAGCCCATTGTGGGTGGGAGCACCCCAGGGCTGATGGTCCTGGGTTATGTAACAAAGCAGCCTGTGGAAGCCATGGGGAGCAAGCCAGTAAGCAGCTCTCCTTCATGGCCTCTCCGTCAACTCTTTCCAGGCTCCTACCCTCACTTCTTTTGGTGATGAACAGTGATGTGGAAGTGTAAACCAAATAAACTATTTCCTCCCCAAGTTGTTTTTGGTCATGGAGTTTTATCCCAGCAATGGAAGTTGTAACTAGGATAGGACACATAGTAAGACACTGTCTCAAACAACAATTTTAATAAAAAACTGTGTGCATACTATAATAGTAAATACCTGGACATTCCGTAAATAGTAAATGCCTGTCATTCTGTCATAGAGGAGGTAGGGGCAAGAGAATCAGGTTAAAGGCCAGCCTCGGTTACATACAGGACACTGACTTCCCCATCACACACACACACATAGGGCTGGAGAGGTGGCTCAACAGTTAAGAACACCTCGGTTTCCAGCACTTGTATCAGGTGTCTGGCCACTGTTCCAATGCCCTGTTCTGGCTTCCGTGGACACTGACGTATACATGTGGAGCTATTCTGGCTTCCGTGGACACTGATGTATACATGTGGAGCTATTCTGGCTTCCGTGGACACTGATGTATACATGTGGAGCTATTCTGGCTTCCGTGGACACTGATGTATACATGTGGAGCTATTCTGGCTTCCATGGACACTGATGTATACATGTGGAGCTATTCTGGCTTCCGTGGACACTGATGTATACATGTGGAGGCGTACTCTTCTGTAAAGTTTTTAAAAAGGAAACTGCTAGTAGAACAGCTTGCTAGGGAATGTTATTTCACGGTGTGTTACTTTTGTTTATGTGGCATTTGTTTAGCTCTGAAGCTGTGTTACTGTGCTGTC